TTGGAGAGAGAAATTCTCGCAAATGCTTGAGTATTTTTAAAATTTGTGATTTCATTCGATTGGGGTACAAACACCGAGGAAAACGGGACACTAATGCATCGAGAAGTTCTCCTCCATCCATATTTAATAGATGCGCAAGTGGTGTAGTGGCAAGTGGCACGCTTACCACGCGAGCGGTCCGGGGATCAAATCCTGGGTCGTGAGTCGCCCGGGCCAACCAAGCCTTCCATCCCTCCGGGGTCGGTTAATTGGTACCAGACTTGTCTGGGAGGATAAAAACACTGACTTGTACATCGGCTGGCCCCTCAATGGTAAATGCTTCATGCTTTTCTACTCACATGTGATGCTAATGCCTTCATGAACACACATTCACGGAAGAGGCTCGTATCAAGACTCAGAAAATGGCGGGGGGGGGGTCGTAAAATTTCCAAAAAACGCCAACGGCAGGGTTGACAAAAGTATTGCAAAGGGGACGGACGTTTGGCACGGGTCGGAAATCCCCAGAGCACTCAGAGCAATTCCTTTCTTGTTTGAGGTAGCACGGTCCATGACCACATAAACATAGCACTGTCGTGCCTCAGGGACCCCATGATCTCATGAAGATTGCGCGGCGCATTCCCACCCCTCCCCCCCCCCAAAAAAAATATAACAACCATCGCGCGCTATCCGCATCCCTTCTTCATCTCTGACACCATCAAGGAGTCGCATGTGGCACGTTTTTCAAACCCGTTCTTTGTCAAGCTATGAAGAAACTGCTAGACTGAAGCTAAACTGCCCCGAAGGGTAGCAGTGACACAATATGTAGACGCGGGTAGGGAAACAAGGCATAGCAATATGGTAGTACACTTGCTCATAAGTGCGTATGTACTCGAAAAACTCCAATCCGCTCAGCTACTAGTCTCAGCGCGCGTGGACGCGTAGTCGAGAAATCACAAAATTACATATCTAATCACTTTCGAAACTGAAGCACCTGATAATACAGTGAACAGAGAATAGAAAGAAGAATCAGATATCAACAGTTCCCTCACGATACCTCTGCCAGGGTTAGGTATGGAATCGCGGGAAATCCATTTGAAAGGACTCACAAGAAAAGTATTTTATTTATTTATTTATTTAAATTGCACTCTTGGTGCGCCCAAACAAAACCAGGACTTGTGTTAGTCGAACATCAACTGAAGGAAAAAACAAACACTGTCGACAAAAACTAAAATGAATACAAATCCTAGGGCCAGGAGACAACATTCCCCTAACTAGACGGCTTCAAGCTGAGGTCAACGAGTCGTCAAAATGTAGAAATAGAATTTAGTGTGAGTTGACAAAAACGCAAGAACCTATCACCCGTGAATACCCGAGATGAGAAGGCTGCATCAAGTGCATCGACCTCTCAATGAAACATTTGAATGCGTAGTGCAGTAAGGTGCAAAGTCAGCCTAGGCAACGCAACCGACCGCAGTCGTTCCCGGGCGGGCCAAAATAGGTGCCTCTTTGATCTAAATACGAACCCAGGGCGTAAGACCTAGGCCCAAGTATTCGAACAGAATACTTGTTGACCTGCACCGACTTGTGGAACTAAAGGATAATAAATATAGGTATGCCTGAGTGACTGAATGAGGAAAGCGCTGGCCAACCAAATTCTTGAAGCTGACTCTTTGAGTTTAGTGCCAAAATAAGTACAGATACGACTCGAGGTACCCCAGAGGCCGTAGAATAGGGGAGACGTTAATTCCGAGCCAAGTAGAACCAGAGAATGAACGGTATTGTTAATATATAAGAAAACACCCAATGGATCAATTCTGATAATAAAGAAAGTCGGCTGCGCTCAGTAGAAGCAAGAGTGTGAAATAATAAGCGGCTATCCTGAAAAAAAAACAATCATTGAAAGAGATTAGATGCGGGAGTTGAAGATTCTGTAGGCAAAATCTTCAACACCTAGAACTTTGAATAAATCTAACTTCTTTAACCTACTTCTTGAAAATTCGGCTATTCTCAGAGCATAACACGTCCTTAGGAATACGTCGAAACCATCTGGCTATACGGTAGAGAAGAAAGTTAAACAGCTGATTCGAACTTCTATTATGAATTCTTACATAGTCCAAACTGAAAACCGTTCCCCCTCTCACTGCTTGGTCTAAAGACCCAGTATTTGCTGGGGAGCATTCTTCAATTCTCTACGAAAAATTCGGAACCCAAATACAAGATCTGAAAGAATCCTAGTACCGTAGCGTTGTCACCCCAATCTTTTTAACCGCTCGCCTTGTCTGGGGATAATACCCTCACGTGAGCTCTTATTGACCCGAAGGAAAACCAGTCTTGTGAACGTATTTTGAACTTTCTTCGAGCTTGAGAATGTCCTTTTTGAGAGTCGGATTCCAAACTTGGGAACAGTATTCTAGAATGAGGCATGACATAAGCTCGATAAAGACGAGTGAGTATATCGGGTACATCACTGTGTATACCCCGAAAAATGGTAGAGAGAGCTATAGGCTCTACTAATCTCATTCTCGATTTGCGTGGAAAACTTCAGACAATCAATTAAAATAAATCAATTAATAATATCAATTAAAACACCCAAATCTTGCTTCAGTACAACACCGTTGACATAGTAATCCTGAGCTACTCTGTCACCAATGTGAAGCACGAAACACTTGTTTAAATTGACCACTAAGTCAAAATCCGTTATTTGTTTAGATTCTGGACGCTTTGCTCTAGAGCTCTAGAGACCTCGTCACGGATATTTTCGTTGTAACAACCATATATCTTCACACCGTCCGCGTAAACCTGCACTTTGATCTTAAGAGAAGTTTCAAGAAGCTGTGGTAACTCGAGCGTATATAAAAGAAACCAGTTTTGCTCCGCCCGCTATCGCGCGCATCACACGGCAGGCTTTAGCGAAACTGGAGGACCCATGGAATATCAGCATGAGGTACTCCATTAACCACCTCACTATTGAATGTGTTAGACCTTTCCCAGTTTCGCTGAAGTCCATCGAGAATACGCGTGATAACGTCTGGAGCTGAACTGGCATATTATCTCACAACTGTAAACATCCAGCATTCTTCTTGAATTCAGATAATTTAGCGGTGAATAGGATTGCTGTCAGTCTCAAAATGAAAATGAAATATGCCTATTTACATAAGTGAGGAGCTAAGGCTTATCATTTATTTACATTCACCATTATTTAGAACCCCGAAAGGATTAGCGGTTTAATGAGTTTGGGCTTTCTTGATAGAAATGAAACTTATCATTTGCTGAAGACTTGATTGAGTTTATGCAATCGACTGCTATTAAGTAAGCTGGTCATACAATGATACAATGTGCACGTACCACTACAAATAGAATTTGTAAGTAGGGACGCTCTAGTGTCAGCGCAACGGAATCGACGACTTTTGCGTTCTGACGCGCCTTATCAGCCCTTATCAGTTGTAATCCACTTTCAATCACCCACCAACAATGTCCCCGTCCCACCCCACATACACCTTGCGAGTATGGACGCTCTAGTGTCAACGCGAGCTGCGTAACGGAATCGACGACTTTTGCGTTCTGACGCCCCTTATCAGCCCTTATCAGTTGTAATCCACTTTCAATCACCCACCAACAATGTCCCCGTCCCACCCCACATAACACTTGTAAGTATGGTTGCTCTGGTGTCAACGCGAGCCAGGTAACGGAATCGACGACTTTTGCGTTCTGACGCGCCTTATCACCCTTATCAGTTGCAATCCGTTTCAATCACCCACCTACAATGTTCCCGACCCATCCCACATATCTCTTGTAAGTGTGGGTGCTCTGATGTCAACGCGAGCTGGGTAACGGAATCGACGACTTTGCCGTTTATGCGCGTATTCAGTTTTATCATATTGTGATCACTTTTCAAAATTCACTCACCAATCAATGTCCCAGTCCCAT